TCTAGTGCTTGGATAGCATTTACCCTCAACTTGCTGCATAAAATGAACCTTGGTCACAATAAAAATAAGACATAATTCATTCCAAACCCTTCAGTGCTCTTCAAACCCCATGACTGCTTCCTGTGTTGGGGTAGAGTGATAGGAGCCAGGTGGTGGAGATAACCAACATGGAATGCTCAGGGTCTTTCAATCGTAACAGCTGTGTGTTGTTTCATGGATATACCTCAAGTCTGTGGTTTGTTTCCACTGGTTAGTAATTTCAGGTAATGACAAACTGATCATCTTGCTAGGTTTATTTCAGTGCCACTGTACTTATAAGAAAAAAAATTTTAGAAGTGAAATAGTTGGGTCCAAGAGTATGTGTTTCAGGTACTTGTAGGGAGTGCTGACGTGATTCCATGTCTGTTCCAATGTGTCCTCACTCTCTGCCATTGGAACTGCTATGTGCCTGTCTCTCTCCTGCAGGTGACCCACTCCGTTTCCATGCCCACTACATTGCCCAGTGCTGGGCCCCTGATGACCCCATCCCACTCCAGGATCTGGTCTCTGCCGGCCGCCTTGGAACCAGTGTCAGAAAGACCCTCCTGCTGTGTTCTCCACACCGAAATGGTGTGGTGGCCTACACCTCCCTGCAGTGGGCCAGCCTGCAGTGAGCACCAGAGACCCAGGGGTGTGGCTGACAGCTGCAGGAACCTCCTGGGCCTCCCCCCCATGGAGGCTCATGCTCTCTCTATGGTTAGTCTCTGATCCCAGGGTTTTGAACATTAATCCTTTTTTTTTGGTTCTTCCTGTTTCAAGCACTTGTTGGCTGTGTCGTTTTGTAGTTACCCATGTCTGAACTGTGAGCTTCTTGAGAGTGACTGTGTTGGGTGGATCTGTTTTCTACAGTGCCTAGGCCCCAGCAGATTTCAATAAACTTGTTGAATAAAAGTTTGTTTTTTTTTTTTTTTGAGAGAGAATCTTTTTCATAGATGGACAACACAATAACACAATGCCTTTTTATTTTTTTATTATGTGGTGCTGAGAATCGAACCCGGGCGTGCTAAGTGAGCGCTCTACCGCTGAGCCACAATCCCAGCCCAAGAGTCAAGTTTTTGATGAGCATTCTTAGAGGTGTGGGTACATTCAGCTGCATGTGCAGATGGGAGAAAGGAGGGAAATGACTTGCCAGGGACTTGTGGCTAGCAGGCTGCTGGGCTGGGTGTTCCCCTGGTCTTTCTATATCCTCAGCCCTCAGCTTCCTCTTGAAAAGATTTCTACAGACATTCCAGATGCATGTGAAGAAAAGGAGTGATGGGTGCGGTGGCACATGCCTGTAATCACAGTGGCTCTGGAGGCCGAGGCAGGAGGATCAAAAGTTCAAAGCCAGCCTCAGCAACTTAGCAAGGCCATAGCAACTTAGCAAGACCCTGTCTCTAAATGGGATGCACTGTTCTTTCTCATGGCCTGAGTAGTATTTGAGATTTGTAACACAAATTTTACAAAAATTAATACAAAAAATGTGTGTTTATAGCCAGGTACAGTGTCATAAACCTTTAATCCCAGCTGTTTAGGAGACTAGGTGGCAGAATTTCAAGTTCAAGGCCAACCTGAGGTTAGACCCTGTCTCAAAATATAAAGGGCTGGGGGTGTAACTCAGTGGTAAAGTGTATGCTTAGCATGCAAAAGGCCCTGAATTTAACCCCTAGCACCAACAAAAGCCAAAACAAGCTGGGCACAGTGGCACACACCTATAATCCCATTGGCTGGGGAGGCTGAGTCAAGAGGCTCGCAAGTTCAAAGCCAGCCTTAGCAAAAACAAGACACTAAGCAATTCAGTGAGACCTGGTCTCTAAATAAAATACAAAATAAGGCTGGGGATGTGAGGATGTGGCTCAGTGGTTGAGTGCCTCTGAGTTCAATCTCTGGTACCACCCCCCAAAGAAAATCCAAAACAAATGTACACATGCAGTATTCAAATAGGGGAAAATTGGAAATGGCTCATATGTCCCTGATAGGTGGAATGGCATTATAAATTATAGTACATGAAGCTGGTGAGGTGGTGCACACCTGTAATCCTAGTGACTCAGGAGGCTGAGGTAGGAGGATCACAAGTTGAGGCCAGCCTCAGCAAGTTAGCAAGACCCTGTCTCAAAAACAAAAACAAAAAGTTCTACATATTGTTTATTTGAACATGGACACAATACCTTTATTTATTTTATTTACTTTTTATGTGGTGCTGAGGATCAAACTCAGTGCCTCACATATGCCAGGCAGGCGCTCTGCCACTGAGCCACAACCCAGCCCTGTCTCAAAATTTTAAATTCTGAGGATGTACTTCAATAGTAAAGCACCCCTGGGTTCAATTCCCAGTGCCAAAAAAAAAAATAAAACAAAATTACATGAGGTGCAACTTTACACAGGGAGGAAGCTCCTTGGGAGAGCTGCGCTAGAGTGTGGCCAAGGGAGGGAACAGGGCAGAGTCTGGAGGCAGGAGGGGCATGACAGGTCAGGACCAGAGAGAGAAGTGGGGCAGTAAGTGACACTAGAAGACAGACACGAGGTTTTATTCCTGGACTGTGGGTCAAGTGACAGACTGTCTCCCAAGCCAAGAACCATGGGCTGGGGTGTGGCTCAGCACTAGCCTAACCTGTTTGACCCCCAGCACTGCAAAAGAGAAAAGCAAGTTTTAGGGGCAGACTGAACATTTGTTCTGCAATGTGGTCAGCCCAGAAGTGTATGTAGGCATGGAGGTTTAGGCTGAGAAGACTGGACTGGAGTCACCTGGGGAGCAGGGAACATGAAGATGATGGGTACAGTTCTTCAGTCACACCTTCAGTATCGACTGTGTTGACCTGTGCTGCACAGAAACAGGAAAGGTGGCACCTGCCGGTAATCCCAGTGACTTGGGAAGCTAAAGCAATAGAACTGAAAGTTCACAGCCAGCCTCAGCACCTTAGCGAGGCACTAAACAATTTGTGAGACTGTCTCTAAATTAAATACAAAAAAGGACTTGGGATGTGGCACAGTGGTTAAGTGCCCCTGAGTTCAACCCCCCCCCCCCCCCCCCCCCCCGCCCCGCAAAAAAAAGGTTGTCTGGGATTATTCCAGAATAGGGCTAGAAGGAAATAAACCTAGGGGCTACTTGAGGGAAAGCTGTAACAATAAAGAAACAATGCGGAAGTCCCTCTGGATGATAAATGGCACCAAGGTGGAGTAGAATGTATAGCAATAGGATTCAGAACATTTTCCCTGTTCTGGAAATCCACCCTCGGAACGACCTGTATGGTTTAACTTTTCTCCTGTTCCGTTCTCTCTGACTCTGAGCTCTGAGGAGGGGCAGCTGTATTTGGTGCTGCATGCCATTATGTAGAATGAATCCTTGGGCTGCTCAAAAACAATCTGTTGCATAAATGAAGGAAGCCCATGTTGAAGGTGGGCACCTTCCCCAGAAGTAGCCAAAAACATTATAAATAATTCCAGGGATGGCAGAGTTTCTAGTAAGGTCTTTTCCCCCTTGTCTACAACAAGCAAGGCCAAAATGGAATAATACAGGTGCAAAGGTGAGCTGTGTGTGTCCCTGAGCAAGTCATGGAACTGCAGGCAGCCTTCTGCCTGTACTTCTCAGATATTTTTTTAGCCAAGTTAAAAGAGCAGGCAGGATGGGAGTGGCTGAGGAGACTGAGGCACAAGGATCATGAATATGGCAAAGAAAACAAACAAACAAAAAAGCCTGCCTGTTATTTATTCATCTATTTATTTAGCAGTACTGGGGCTCAAACCCAGGGTTACTCTACCATTGTGCTGCATTCCCAGCCCTTTTTGCACAGGAAGAAAACTGAGGTCCACAGAGGGTAGGGACAACTTATCCAGCTGTGTTCAGAGACAAGAGTGGCACCAGGACGCAAATCCTAAGCTAGTTTGCCTGTCTTGTTAAAAACTGAGAAAGATGTTTAGGAATACAGAGGGAAAGAACACCAAGTTTCTAAAGGAGAAATATCCCTATTAAAATATAAAACAAACAACTTGTGTTATTAGACAAAGGAGCCTCAGAGACAGAAAAGAGGTGCAATATATAGCCCATAAATTACTTTGTGACTTTCCAGTTCCTTATGTTTTCTGGAATATAGCAAAACAGGAACAAGACCTCAACAGAAAGAGACCATTAACCTTGTGAGGCTAGGGGCTAACATTCGAAACCACCATGACCCTTCAGAGAACAGGTGAAATCTACATACGGGACCAGACCCTGCAACGGGAAAATAATACCTTGTTCAATAATTCCCAGCCAGAGGTTAAGTCCCGCTCCTCTGGATCATACATATTTCACCGTTTTGTTTTTTTTTGGGGGGGCGGGGGGCGCGGTACTGGAGACTGAACTCAGGGGCGCTTAACCACTGAGCCACATGCCCATTCTTTTTTATTTTGAGATAAAAAATAGCCTCGTTGAGGCTGGGGATGTGGCTCAAGCGGTAGCGCGCTCGCCTGGCATGCGTGCGGCCCGGGTTCGATCCTCGGCACCACATACAAACAAAGATGTTGTGTCTGCCGAAAACTAAAATAAATATTTTAAAAATTAAAAAAAATAGCCTCGCTAAGTTCTGAGGCTGGCCTTGAACTTGCCGTCCTTCTGCCTCAGTCTCCCAAGCCCCTGACCGCCCAGCACCACCTAATGAACCTCAATAAAAATCCGACCTTAAGCGCTGGTGGGAGAACTCGCGCACACCTTCCAGCATGAACTTTCCGATAAAGCTCTCCCTTCTTGCTCTGCGACCGGACACGTCCTTGGATTCCCAGTGGAGGTGTTCTGCACCCGTACAGACCTCCTCGGACCCTGTACCGTGACGGAACTACCGCCCAACGCGGAGAAGCGCTCTTCTCGACTTCCAGCCTTCCTCGGACCTCCGCGTTCCGGTCCCCGGACGCGCGCAAACTCCGTCCTCGCAACCCAACAAGCCGCTCTAGCCCAGCCTCTCGTCTCTACCGCTTTGCAGTCAGCCAACGCTTCTTCTGATTGGCTCGGGCGTGCGCCTTGCGCAATGACGTAACGACAGGCAGGGTTCTTATAAAGGCGCGACGCGAACCACAGAGTCCTTTCTCTGTTTCCGGGCACTGCGTGTAGGTAAGTTCTGCTCACGTGCGTTCTAGTTCGGACTTGGGTTATATGAACCGCGGGCCTCCCGAGCTTTAGTGACCACACAGAAGTTAGGGACGCGAATGTTTTGGGGGCGACAGGTTAGAAAAGCTTTTGGGGCAGGCCTCGCGAGATCGCTCCCGAGTGCCACGAGCTCTCGGCGGACGTGCGGACTGCGCAGGCCCCGCACGGAGTACTCAGAGTGTTCCCCTCCCGCGCAGGCGCAGACAGGCAAGCGGAGCCAACATGCCGGTGGCCCGGAGCTGGGTATGTCGCAAAACGTATGTGACCCCGCGGAGGCCCTTTGAGAAATCCCGCCTCGACCAAGAACTGAAGCTGATCGGTGAGTGGCAGGGTTTCGGCTTCCGAGGTCAGGGAGGGTAGCACGTGGGGAGGCCGCCCACGTGCGGCCTGTGGGCGTCTGCTGCAGGAAGATGGGTGGTTCCTGGCGCTTGTGCGGAGCCTGGCGCTGCCAATCCAGGTTTTGTACTAGTCGGTCGTCCTGAGACTATCAACCCGCCCTTCCACCCTCCTGCAGGCGAGTATGGTCTCCGGAACAAACGTGAGGTCTGGAGGGTCAAATTTACTCTGGCCAAAATTCGCAAGGCTGCCCGGGAGCTGCTGACGCTGGACGAAAAAGACCCCCGACGTCTGTTTGAAGGTGTGTGCGTGGTCCTTCCAAAGGGGTGGGGTGCAGGACTGCCGAGATCTAGAATAATCTGGTTAGAGGTGTGACATTGAACAAGCGGAGTCAGTTTTTTATTTAGCGGTTTTTCTTTTTCCTTGGTGCGGGGGTTTCAAATCAGCCCTGAATGGTAAGTTTGCTTCACCACGCCCCGAGGGTTTTCCCGCCTTTCCTCACTTAGTGGTGGGTTTTGAGTATGTGTATGGTGCTGAGGATGGAGCCCAGGGCCTTGTACACTTCAGGCAAAGCGCTCTATAAATGAGCTACACTCCCCTTAATTTAGCTATTTATTTAATGGAGATGTGTATGAGAAAAGTATCCGGATCTTACCCTTGCCTTATAGTATGAATGTGTGATATTTTCAATATGTCTAGAGCTGGTGATGGCAGTCCTGCTTGCACATCAGACGACCTGTGTATTACACAGCAAAGCATTCTGCTCTTTATTGTGTCCTGTTTGCTGGTGGTGGGAAGGCCTTGACTGAAATTTCTGGAATGTCTGATGGCAGGAAAGTGGCTTGAAGGTTTACTTTGCTTCCTTTTTGCAGTAAGCTGGTTAAGACTATTTAAGTGACATTTAGTAAAGGCCTGAAAGGGGGGGGGTGATGTGGATATCTTCAGGAAAAGCAGTTCAGGCGATGACATAGGGTTTGCCACCTTTTATTTTTGGCAGTACTACAGATTGAACCCAGGGTGCTCCATCACTGACCTGTATCCCCAGCCCTTTTTTATTTTCAGATTTGTGTTGCTGAGGCTGGCCTTGAACTGTTCATGCTGCTGAGTAGCTCACTGTACTTGGCTCTCACACCGTGTTTACACCCTATTTTTGGCCTGAGCTTAGATAATGATGTAGGGGAAAACAAAATGGGATGGGAATCATGAGGCCTGGCTCCTTGGGCAACTAACTGGCTTTAGTTTTCATATAGGGTTACTAATCAGATTTTCCTCCCTGTGTGTGATGGAGTTATACAGGAATAGAGGATGGTCCTACATGTGGTGGAGCTTGAGGAGGACAAAATTAGCATGCATGTCACTTATTTGACAAGGCTTGTGGGTGTTGAAGTCTTCATTCTTTTTGCTAGATAATAGATCTCTTTGAAAGGCCCATGAAAGCTGTGGAATCCCCCCTGTCATGGGCGCTGATGACCAGATGGCAGTTTCTCCCATAGCTCCATGGGGAGCAGGCTACAGCTAGTTCTTGTTATATGGGTCACTTTTTGAACCCAGAGCTAAACACAAGGTCTATGATTTGGTGTTCCTCATGTGGAAAGGGAGCTGCAGCTTCATGAGGGCTGCCTGGGTTTTCAGGGTAGAAGTGAAAGTTGGAGAGGGTGGTGGCTCCTTAGAGGGTAGCACTTTCTAGTAAATAAAGGTGTTGAGCCAGGAACTGCAGGCATCCTGTCCTCAGCTTCCTTATCCAGCCTGCCCTGAGCCAGATTCAAAGGTGTGTGATTTAAGAGTGAAAAGAATTATTCTTTTCAGTCCTAAGGATAGGTGCTGATACTAGCCCCTTAAGAATAGGCCAGAAGTGTGATTGCCTCACAGCAGAGCTTTCTGGCCCTACAGAGCAGCTCTTCCTCTGCATTGTTAGGGCCGTAGTAGCTTCATAGTACCAGCACTTTCTAGACAAGAACATAGGTACATGTGGGCACCTGCTCTCCTTGTTAAAACAGGTGACTGGGGTGGTTTTCAGTATTACCTCATGTTGGTTAAGTACAATTAACTCTGTATCAAGTTAGCCTTTGTCTTAACGTAGCACTGCCACAACATGGAACTTCAAGATGTGGACCCAGGATTTGATCCCTAGAAGTCTGAGGTCAGAACTCTTGAGTGAAAACTTACTCTGTCCCTCCAGGCAATGCCCTGCTGCGACGACTTGTCCGCATTGGGGTGCTGGACGAGGGCAAGATGAAGCTGGATTACATATTGGGCCTGAAGATTGAGGATTTCTTGGAGAGGCGCCTGCAGACCCAGGTCTTTAAGCTGGGCCTGGCCAAGTCCATCCACCACGCACGTGTGCTCATTCGCCAGCGCCACATCAGGTATGGCAACTGCTGAACCCCTGAATCTCCCTATTCCCTTTGATGGTTGCCCTCTCTAAGCCTGCTGTCCCTGTCTCCTGTGCAGCCATTGGAGCTGACAAAGGTGTGAGGGTATGGATTCACACCCTGCAAACATCTCGTGGGGGATCTGGGGACAACCTTGTTCCCTGTAGCCCCTGTCAGCGCAAGGGTCACTGCGGCTAAAGCCGTACACCTTGCGAAGGCCTCTGCCAGGCATGCAGGCAGCTGGACAGGTAGGATTGGGTGCAACTGGGTGGGCTCAGTTCCGCTGGGCTCACTGGAGCCTGTTCCAGAGGTTTGGTGCAGATACCAGGACCGCAGGAGTCCATCAGCTGCCATCCTGCCAGCTGATGCAGAGACGGGCAAAGTGGGATTGAGTTGAGGGCTAGGTGTAGTTCTCCCTACCCCGTACCTAGAATTGAACCCAGGGCACTTAGCCACTAAGTGACATTCCCAGTCCTCTGGGTTTTTTTTTTTTTTTTTAATATTTTTAGTTCTAGTTGGACACAATACCTTTATTTAACTTATTTATTTTTATGTGATGCTGAGGATCAAACCCAGGGTCTCACACATGTGAGGCGAGCGCTCTACCACTGAGCCACAGCCCAGCCCTCCCCCTCTGGGGTCTTGTGTGGGTTTCTTGATTTCTCTCCTCTTCTGTGAAGTGAAGGATAAACTCACCCAAAGCACTGGTGTGGTGTCCCGATGGCCTAAAGCGGACCCAGTGCAGGGGTCCAAAGCTGAGAAGTGCCCCCAGCACACACATGGGACAGCACAATCCCAGAGCAGAGTGGTGTTCTGGTTGGGGGACTGGTCCACCCAGGCCCCTTGACCGCCTTTCTCCTTTCAGGGTCCGCAAGCAGGTGGTGAACATCCCGTCCTTCATTGTCCGCCTCGACTCCCAGAAGCACATTGACTTCTCCCTGCGGTCTCCATATGGGGGTGGCCGCCCAGGCCGCGTGAAGAGGAAGAATGCCAAGAAGGGCCAGGGCGGGGCCGGGGCTGGTGATGATGAGGAGGAGGATTAGGCCCTCCCCCTGGGCTGGAGGATTGTTTTCCAGGCAGGTAATAAAGCAGGATTAACACTTTGGAGTTGGTGTTTTATAAGTGTGTCCTTGTACCCTCCCTCTGCACATCCTTCTGTGGTGGGCAGAGCTCAGCTGGGTCCCAGGCCAGGCTTCCTGGAGCTGGGGCGTGCAAGTGTCATCAGGCTAGAAGATACCACCAGGTCCAGGCTAATCCTGGTGGGTCAGCTTGGGAGCACCTCCCAGGTGTGGTGGGTCTTGACCTCAGGGTGGGCTACAGGGTAGTGAGCAGAATGTGCATAGTCACTTTTATAATTGGGGGGGAGACCAAGTTGCTGAGTAAAGCCAGGCATGTGCAAATGGGGACAGGAAAGTCATTTGCAGGCAGAGAAGCAAGTGCAGGTCAGGGCTTGTCCCACTCAGCCTGGCCAAGAGCTGAACCCTAGAGAGCCTTCATCTGATCATGGAAAGATTGCTACAGGGTGGTTGGTGATGGGGAGGGTCCCCGTTTGTCTCAACATGTGGGTTTAAGTGGGAAGTGGCTGGTGACCTTTGGACGGGGGCATTTGAGGAACTGCCTGTGGAGTTTCTCCTACATTCATAGTCAGGCGACAGGCTTCCCTTTTCCTGCCTTGCCGAGAAGCTGTGTTGGGCTGGGAGGTGGGTCAAAGCCTGCAGCCACTTTGCATGCTGCAGTCTGGTCCTTTGGGGATTTCAGGCCCAGCTCTGGTCCCTGGGTCAGTCCACTGTGAATCCTGCACAGAGTCCGACAGCACTGCAGCTTCTTGGGCTAGGTGGTTTTCCACTTGAGTGGCCGAGATGTAGAGGGTAACCAGGTCACTCAGGTATTCTAGCGCAGCTAAAGCTTCCTGGAAGCAGTTTATGCCTCTCCCAGGCTCTTGTCCATTTGGTCCTTATCCTGGCCAGGGTCCATTAGCTGAGTCTGACATGGCTCCCATGCCCCCAGGGTCCTGGCAGTCTGGAGTGTGAGGTCTGTCCTTTGTCAGTGGAGAGCCAGGGCAGCATACACACTGGTTTCATCTAGGGCCTGTCCTGACTCCTGGTGAGAGGCAGCAGAGGTCTGCTAGAGGGATGGGCTGCACAGCTGGGCGTAGGTCACATGTGGGCTTCAGATGCAGTGGCCTGGAGTGGGGACAGTGGGAGCGAAGGTGTGCTTGGGGTGGGGCAGCCCAGGGCTTGGGCAGGAAGACTGGTCCTCCTCTCCAGCTTCTGCTCTTGGGAGGTGGGCTTGGGGTCTTGTGATGAAGGGAGGAGGGACACAGGCAGCTGGCGTGGGGGTGGTTGGACACCTGGTGCTTGCAGAGGTCAGGACTGGGAGTAGGAAATGGAGTGGACCTGTCCACTTAAGAGGAGCAACAGCCTCAGGTGCCCCAGCCAGGGATCAGGCTCCCTTGCCAGGGCAGATAGAGGAGCCTGGGGTGGGTAGGAGCCACCATCACCTCTTGTTGGGCCCAAGTCTGGTTTCCCACAACTATGGGACAGTGAAGTAGAGTAAGCCAGAGACCAGATCAGGGCAGGGCTGACTGGGATGCCCTTGGGCCTCTGCAGGTCCAGGGTGTGGGGCTCAGGTCCCAGTGTCCCCTGCGTGGCTCCTCTGTGTAGGTCAGGCTCTCCAGCCACACCTTCATCCCTGCCAGCCTGGTGGGGTGCTCAGCTCCTCAGGGACCAGAGACACCAGCAGTGGGACCCTGAGGGAGTGCTGTGTCAACACCAGTGTGCTCTGGACGCTACTGGGAACTGGCGCTGGGGGAGGGGCCTGCTGGGTTTGATGTTTGAGCAGGGAGGATGTGGATGCCCCATGAGGACCACAGGAGACTGTCCAGCTGTCTGTCCTCAGGCTGTGTGTCTTTCTCAGCAGCATCTGGGGTGGGGGTGGGTGCACAAAGTGGGACGTTCATCTTTTCAAGATACCCTGAGATCTCACTCTACAGAGGCCCAGGGTGGTTCTGACTTGGCCAAGGCCACACAGTATCAGATTCGTCTTCTCTAAGCCTAGAACATTCCAACCAACACCCACCTCCCTAGTGCCTGCCAGCCCCATTGTCCCACCCGCAGCACAACCCTCTTCTTACACAGGTTCTCCTCCTGGACCTCAGCAGCCACCCTATGGCTGCAGTGCATCCTACAGAGGAAACATAATACCCTCTATCTCCTTGTAGAATTCAAGACCAGGCAGTTGTGAAAATATGAGCCAGGCTCAGTGGCACAGGCCTGTCATCCCAGCTACTTGGGAGGCTGAAGCAGGAGGATTGCCAGTTCAAGGCCAGACTCAGCAACTCAGGGAAACCCTGTCTCAAAGTAAAAAGGGCTGGGGATGTAGCTCAGTGAGAGAGCGCCCCTGGATTCAATCCCTAGTACCACACAGAAAGCTAACTAAAATAGTGAAAGACCCACAACTGCACATGTTCTCATAGATCTGAAAAGGCCAAAGTCACTTTAAACATTTCCGTACACACATTGTTTCTACATTTTCTCACTAGGACATTATGCAAAAGTGTTTCCAAGCTCACCTGTTCCCAGCAGGCAGGTTTCTCTGGGGCTGCTACACTGAGCCCACCCTTGCTGGGCCCACGGGGAGCCCGCTCCCACTCACCTGCCTTCCTCTGTTGGCTCTGCTCTGGAGGAGCAACAGGAGGAAGGCCACTGAGACTCAGCAGAACCTGCAGGTGCCTTCCCTTCAGATCTTCCCAGTCCTGGACACGGGGACATTGTGAACCAGGAGCCACGCTGCTTACCTGAGCACCTACTGTGTGCCAGCCTGCTGGTCTTTCCACCTGTCACCTCCATCCCTGTCACTCAGGCATCATGGCCCTGCCACCCACTCCTCCAGGGACAGATGAGGAAACTGAGGCTCAGAGAGGGGTCCCCTGCCCAGTCACCCAGCAGGAAGCAGCAGAGTGGGGGCCTGAACTGGGGGAGTCTGACTCCCAGTCTCCTTCTCTCCAC